ATGTGTTTAATTTACTTAAAATAAACAACACTGGCAATTTCCTGTAAGCCCAGAGATTGTTGAAATATGTGGCTGCTTAGACAAAATATACTTGTCATGAAGGAAAAATGCAATTGTAATAATCAGCAGGCTGGCAGTTGGTGGTTGAGGCTCAGTGATAAAAATAATCTTGTGGATTTTGAAACTAGTTGTTTTGAGACTAGCTACTGAAAATTGTTGAGCACCGGAGAAATTGGAAGTTGAGATCTTTTTGGTATAAAAAAGGATTAGAATTTAATTTCATGATACTACTGACAAGTGCCAGTAGTCTCTTATTTGAATAATTTCTGATATTTTCATATTGAAGCATAAAAAGCATCATCTTTCTCTGTAACTTGATTCTTGAAGGACAACGATGCAAATTAATGAGAATTGCTGTTCTGGAACATCTTCCGTAGCTTTTTTCTTTTTTTTCAACAAACCTTCTTCCTTCAGCTTTGTTTCTTTTTAAAGCAGTATTACAAACAGGTTTTGCTAGTATAGTTCTGACATGTTTTCCAAGCTGTATTGAAGATCAGAAACACAAAGTGATGAAAGTATTTAGCTTATTCTTCTGTAGTAATGTTCTGTACTACAATTGAGAGTAAGTTGAGTTCAACTTAGAAGTTGAACAATTTTAACTTTCTTGTTTACTTTTCTCCCAGCTCGGAAGCCCAATAAGTAGAACAAATATAATACATCCACAAGTCTACGTGAGTATATATTTTCATTTTTTGAGAGCTACTTTAATAAGACTAGCATAATTCTACAAGTGAACTGGCTTCTCCATCCTTCTAAAACCTTTTCAATAGAAAGGAAACAAAAGTCAAGCAAACAAAACGAACTTTCAAATCAGATCAAGTATTTAACATGACTTACCATTCCTCACCCATGTAAATCGTTGTTTGAAGAATGGGTCTTAAATTCCAGTATGTGAATTCCAGCATGTGAGCCCATATAAAATGTGGTTTTCAGGGTTGAAGTGGCAATGACTTTGTGTAATGTAGGAGATGAAACACCACAGTAGAAGGGCAGCTAAGAGTGAAGAAACTATGAATATTTTAAGAAAGCTCCACCTTATTTTTTAGTTTTGACGGATGGGAATGATGAGTGACTGTTAATTATATGAGGCTTGGAATTCAAATTCCATGAACTTATAAAATAATGTAATAGTGAGATAGCGTATAAAGTGTACTTTTAGGATCTGTGTTGCTTTTATTTGAACTTGCATCGTTTTGAAAAAAACAGTGGAGTTAGTAGTATTTAGAATTGCTTTTTCATAGTTAATTTTATTGTGTTTTGAGGAAGAGGTACAGGATTGTAAATCATTATTATGAAGCTGTATATACATTAGGTGTTGGACGTAGTTGAACTCAGTTGGCAAGTTTTTACTCCAGGAGTTACTGCTTCAAAATTGAGGTGTCCCTCTTCCAGGTATAATCATTACCTGAGCTTTTTAATGCTTTTAAATATCTTCCAGTTTTCTTCATTGCCTCCAGTTCGTGTGGTATTTGAAGTTACCATGGAAGGTAGCGCTCGGAAAGTGATAACAGTGCGCTCAGCCTTGATTGTGAAGAACAAGCTGGAAACACCAATGGAACTAAGACTAGATAGTCCTTCTGCTCCTGACAGTAAGTGTTGTATGTTCCTTCCATTCTATGAGGAATCTTTAGCTTCCTCCCCAAGAAGATTCGCCACTGCCTGTAATGGTTAGCAACAAAGTAGCACTCCCTGGAGGGGAAATGGCTAATCTTAAGAAGAAAGCGATCAGCAGGGTAAGCTAGAGAACCCAGTAGGATTTTTCCTTATTGTTCAGGTAAATGGGGAAAGCTGAGACTCTGTAAAGACTGAATCTTATTTCTGTATGTAGCATGTTGTATCTTTTAGCAGTAGTCTAGAAGGTTTCAGGTGTTAGCATGCAAAGGTGCAATCTAGAAATGTAGTGAAATGCTGATAATGTGTCCAAAATGTAATAAATGAGGTCTTTTTGAAATAAGCATTTTCACTAAAGCACCCAAGGAGAAAGAATTTGAATTCCAGCAAGTTCTTAGTCTGTTTCCAGTTTCAGATTTACACACCTAAAATTGCCTGCTGCCAGATTGTTAATAGGGCTTAAAGCAGCGGGTTGGTGTTTGAAACATACATAAAGTAGCTAGTGTTTTATGTTAAAATGGAACGTGTTGCTTCAAAAATTTGAGACTTGCTAGTTGAAAATTTTATGCTTTTCAGTAAAGGGGCCTGTTTTGATATGTGTATTTTCTTCTCTGGTTGCAGAACCTGTAGTTCTTCCAGCAGTTATGCCGGGAGATTCCTTTGCTATTCCATTACATCTTACATCTTGGCGTTTGCAAGCCAGGCCGAAAGGAATGGGAGTCTTTTTCTGTAAGGCTCCAATTCATTGGACTAATGTTCAGAAGACAGCAGAAGTATGTAGCAGCAAGCGAGAGTGTCATTCAATGGAGTCTGAAAATAGCCGATTTTTCAGGTAATTAAGACCTAATTATTTCTCTGTAAGCTGTGTTATCTCTTTTTCTGATAAATGAAATACTGTGAAAGTAAATAACAGGAAAGAAAATACTTAGAGATGAAAGCTTCTGCAGTTTAATGGGATGTTTTGTTTGGTCTGTTGAATAATGAGAAATCATTGAAGCATAACAGCTATATTTCTGTGGGGCTCCTTGAAGCCCCTTTGACAGGGCCTGTTAGCAAATGTCTGAGAATATAAAGTAAGCATACTACTAGTATTTATTGTAAAAAAGAAAAGGTTAGGAAATAGAATGTGACTTATGTTAAATTATCTAGTCTGTCTCACTGAGAATAATGAGTGGTTTGCCATAGTGTGTTCGCAAATACTCGTTCTTTGTCCTGGATGTCCTTTACTCTGTTCTAAGCCCCAAAATGTCGCTGCATAGTGAGGACTTTATGGAATTTTGTAGTTATCTGATATGATGGATTTAGGGATGCTCTCAATTTAGGAAATACTAGAATAGAGATTATGGAAGTTACTTCAGGAAATGACCTTTGTGTACTATATAGTTATTGCTGTGTGTCGGTTCCATAGTTCATTTCTTAATATGCCAGTTTTGAACATGTCACAGGAAGGAAAATTAACGAATTATTTAAAATGACGGTTTACTTAATTTTTTACTTTAACTAATGAAAAACTCAAGTGTCAGGTGGCCAAAGCAAGGATATATCTACTGGGAAGAAGGACACGTTCAGCATTTATTTTTAAGAACATGATTATAATTTACTTAACTATTTAAAACTCTTCTTAGTAATAGTTGATAACATGTTTCTGTGAGTTTATGGAAGTTGGTTTTAAAGTTTATAATCTGTAAAAGCAATTTTCTGTTAGGTCTCTGAACAGACAAGTTTTTTTGAGTGACTAAATTAATTCTTTGCTTAAAATGAGGAAACTCCTGTTGTCTTAATGTTAGGCATAAATACAAAATACCTTATAATCGAACTCTAAAGTGATTATGTGGAGAACAATTCTAAATGCTGTTTTTGCTATCAGTCCTGAAGTTACAGCATGTTGTGGGATTTAATGCAATACACAAAGACAGGGTTCAATTATTCTGTTGAGTTCATTGACGACTTCTCCTATGTGTCTGCCTTCACAGGTTTTGTGTGGCTATAAAGAAAGAAAATTATCCGGATTACATGCCTTCCAATATATTTTCTGACAGTGCTAAACAGATTTTCAGACAGCCTGGGCATACTATTTATCTCTTGCCAACGGTGGTAATCTGTAACTTGCTACCTTGTGAACTCGAGTTCTATGTTAAAGGAATGCCAATTAACGGGACATTAAAACCTGGCAAAGAGGCAGCATTGCACACAGCTGATACATCTCAGAACATTGAGCTTGGTAAGGTTCTTTTTCAGATACTACCTTCTGATCCTCCTAGAGGAGTACCTCAGTATAACTGTTTCTTGTACAAGGAACTATGGTGCAAGAAGGGAAAAATGAGAAAATTGAAAACACTTATATGATTATTTCATTGGGTTGCAGGGTTTCTTATAGTTAATAACCAAGTGCATGGCATCCCCAAAAAATACTAATATTGCCATCATTCCCCCAAATCTGTCAGCTGTCTTGATCTGTTCCTTATTCAGCTCTTTTCTCATTTTCCTGAGAGTGGAAACTGGAGAGAACAGTGATAAAGAAGGGAATAAATCAAATAAGTTCCCAACATTTTGGGTGGTTTTGCTGTTTTCTTTCTGACAGAAAAAGTTGGTGTTGAGAGTACGTATGGAATTATTCAACACCGGCTGGACTTCTGATGCCTAAGGCAGTAATTAGCCCTAAGCAGGGTTCTTTACAGAACTTTTTTGCTGCTTGTGACTTAAATTGAGGCATTTCTTCATGAGGTCAGAGGTTACTACACTGGGCAGATTTAAAAGTTAATCTGGGTAAGCTGTATAAAATAGTCAGGAAGATGAAGCCATATGAAACATGAACCTGTATGCTTATCAGAAACTAATGTTTCTGTGTGGGTGATGTTTGGTTTGGTTTTGTTTCATTTTGTTTTCGTAGGGGTATTGCTAGAAAACTTCCCGATCTGCAAGGAGCTGTTGATTCCTCCTGGGACACAAAACTACATGGTGCGGATGCGATTGTATGATGTCAACAAACGACTACTAAATTTGACCATAAGGATTGTATGTCGTGCTGAAGGTTCTCTAAAAATACTAATTTCAGCACCATATTGGTTAATCAACAAAACAGGTAAGTTTTTACAGTATTTTCTTTCATAGCTGTAATCATGAACTGGGAAATAAAGATTTTATGCAGTGTTTTGATTTGCTTTCTAGCCAAATAGCACTTTTAAACACTACTTAAGAGGAATCAAAGTTGCAGGAGTTTTTTTAGTTGTTTTTTTTAACAGTGCCACCAGCTATTGTTTGATGAATGTTACAGCAGATAACTTAGACATTTTACTTGCTATATTGCAGATTTTCAAACATGAGCTATTGTACCTCTAAATAAATCAACATAGATTAATCACTGTTAAAATTGTGGGTTTCAAAGACTGAAATGCCTTGAGAAAGCAACAGGTCCAAATTGCAGTTATTCTATGTTAACATCCATCAGCACTTTCAGAGTTACCAGAACTCCTTTTCTGTATGGACCAGACTCTGTGGCTCGCAGCTGTTAATAGGTCTAGCTGTTAAACAGGTTAGACGAAGAATGCAAAGGAGAATGCATGCAGACTAATGGCTAATATTACAACTGAAATACTTTAGATTGTTCCTTAATTTGAAGTAGTTTTTACCATTCTCATTTTAATTTGTGCAAAGGTGAAGTGTAGTTTGATACTCCATTTTTTGTGTTTACTTAAAGGATTGCCACTTATCTTCAGACAAGATAATGCAAAAACAGATGCTGCAGGTCAGTTTGAAGAGCATGAGCTTGCTAGAAGCCTCAGCCCACTTCTATTCTGTTATGCTGATAAAGAACAGCCAAACTTGTAAGTAATACCACAAGAAGAGCAGACAAGAAGGAACCTTAGGAAGTATGAAAGTAATTCACAGAGGATTGGGTGCTGATATATTAGTATTAATATC